AAGTAGTGTGTGTGTGTGTGTGTGTGTGTGTGTGTGTGTGTGTGTGTGTGTGTGTGTGTGTGTGTTATTTACTAAAATCGCGAAAAGAAATTTAAAATGGATTATGATTATGTCAATATTAGTTATAGTAAATAATATTTCATAAAATGCTGAAAATATATAAATAATAAAATAATACATAGATATGATATAAATGCCAACATAGATTTTTTTACAAGGTATACGGAAGTTACGAAAATACATTCTGAATTGAGAATCCCTGAAAATTATCGAAGATATTATCGACTCGCGTGGTAAATGATGTAAAGGCTGATATTCGCCGCGCATTGTGCGCATCAGGAACAAAGAGGTAAAGACCCAAGTTAGAACCAAGTTACTGCGAACTTTGAACTAAATACGGGCTGTATTCGACTGAATATTGTATCATATGAGTAAAATATGAGTAAAATTGATGTAACACGGAGCTCTATCTGCAAAGTAATATAATATGATAAGAACGAACGTGAAATCGAAATCGAGAAGCAACAGCCTTTAACGATCGAACGTAAAAAGAGACAGAAGCGGAGTCTGCCAGAATTCGATGAGTAGCCAAACGTTTGATAGGCGGAAAATTACGGAATGAATGGAAGACACGATTCAGCGATTCATCGAGCTTTTTTCTTTTACCTCTGATTTTTATACGATGCGCTTTCTTTCTTATTTTAACAATTGTGCAAATAATGATTCTATTGGAACTCTTATGATTGCATTCTATGATGCATTGTGAAAGAAAGAGTAAATTAACACGCGGTAGTATTATTAATATATTATCTATGATAAAACATATATTGTTGCAGAATAAAAATTATAAATAAAATAATACAGTAATAATATAATTCCGGATGTATGTATATGTATCATATATAAATCCAAAATCTTTAAATCTTTAATTAATAAATCCAAAACACTCTTGATACATGGTAAGTATCATGTTTAAGAGAGTGATGTAATTTAAATTTTATAATTGTACATATAAAAATTATAGAGATAATAGATAATAGAAAAATAACATGTATAATTAAATATGTAAACAAGTTATAAACAAAAATTATTATTCTACATTTAAATTACAACAATAAGATATAAATAAAATAAAATATAATCAATATAAATTGCATAATTTTTGAAAAGAAAAAAGAATTTTAAAAATGACATGAGATTTATTAAAAGATAAGTCATGAAACCTGATTGATGTAATTTGGAAAACTGCATTCTCTGTCTCTGAAGTGTTGGTGAATTCGTCGGTGATATATAGTATATAGAACGATTCAAAATTTTCTTTCCTATTTTTGAATTAAATAATTTTCGCATTAAATAATTTTTTTTCTAATGACTTTTTTTAAAGCAGTTTTAATTAAAATTATTAATTGGAGCAATCATAATCATCATTGATTATTTTATTCCAATTTTTCATATTATTCTTTTTCTGTCTGCTTGGAAGGCAGAGCTACGATTACTTTTGAACGATTCTGTACACTTGTTTTCACTTACATGTAGATTTTGTCCTGGCTGCGCGATTCATTGTTACGGCCGCGGGAATAGAAGGATACGTGGTAGGCGAGTGAGGGGTCGCGGTGGCACTTTGCATTCTGATGTGATTTTAAATCTCCTCCGAAATTCATTTTGGCAGTTAAGCTAGGATAAACCGACGCGCATCCAAGCTTCGACAAACGGCGGTGTGAAACCACAGGCATGTTACGGATCGCGGGAAAGGATCCTGCTAATATCGCTTGCAAACTTCGTAGTTGTTGTGGCGCAAAAGTTGCCTTTAAAGCGCTCAATCGCTTTTGTTGCCGCTATTCACGGAAGATGATGCAAAATTACTGGATTACATTAACTCGGGGTAATCGACAGGCCAGAATTTCAGAAGTAATCAAACAGATTAAGAGCTTCTCAGCGTGCTCAAGTAAGTTAGAGTTTCGAGGAGCTTCATTTTTAAGAAACTCTAAGACGCGAAGTAATTTGTTTCTTCATAAAGAATGATATATATGAATGATATAT